TATATATATATATATATATATATATATATATATATATATATATATATCAGCTGGTATTGCTGGATCTTTCTGAGAATCTGCCATACTATTTTCCATAATGTATGCTCCATTTCATATTTCTATTCACAGTGCATAAGGGTTTAAATTTTTCCATATCCTCTCCAACACTTTTATCCTGATGGGCATCAGGAGTATCATTGTGGTTTTGATTTTCATTTCCCTAATGAGTAATATGTCGAATATCTTTTCATGTGGTTGTTGGCCATTGTTTATCTTCTTGGGACAAATGTCTATTCAGGTCCTTTGCTGTTTTTGATGATGTGCACTACCTTATGGGGCACCTTTAATTTTTTCTTTTCTTTTCTTTCTTTCTTTTCTTTTTAATACTCAGGTTAATACCACATTTTATGTTTCTATCCAGAGGCACTCTACCACTGAGCTACATCCCCAGACCATATATATATATATATATATATAATTTTTTTTAGAATCTGGGAATCTTTTTGTGATGGAACCTAGAGCTCAAAAAAATTTTTTAAGCTTCTCAGGGCTATTTTATTATCTATGTTAGTTCTCATTAGGACACATGAGTCTCCTTCCATCTGGTGACTTTATGTGTTCCTTGGTGCTATCTAGTCATGGTTAAGTTTTTTTTTTTTAATGCGTTTATTGGGATGTTTTCCCACTCATTTTGATTCAGGCTGCTTTTAGTGATCTTTGTTTGTATGTGGTGCTGAGGATCGAACCTGGGCTGCACACATGCCAGGCGAGCGCTCTACCGCTTGAGCCACATCCCCAGCCCAAGGGTTTTATTTTCTTAATGTTACCAGACTCACAGTTTTCTGGTTCTATTCTTTCCTCCTTGCACAGAAAGATACTAGTTAATATTTATTCCTTATAGAGGAAATATAGAAACAAAATATCCATTTATTAACACTCTTCTACTTATAACTATTATCAAAATGATACATGTTATCACTTTTCCTAGTACAACTACCTTTTGAAAGTCTTTCTCATAGCTTTCTACTTTTGAATGACTTATAGATTCACAGCTTTTCCCAGATATTTTACTTAAGCATATTAATGAATAAATATTTTAGGGTACCCAAATTGTAACAGCTTGGACAGTGACAGTCCATTTAATTATCATTTGTTTTCATATCACTACCCCTATTGTCCTTGAAAATATCCTTGCTTTCTGGTATCAAAAGGATGCTCTAGACCCATCCTTATTCCTTGTCTCAAGGAATTAAATCAATTACCCTCCAAGGACCTCTGATTATTTAAGGGGTAAATCTATTAGACATTGTTGGTAGAGGGTAAAGTATAGAACCTCAAATGGTGACAGAGTTAGAAAAAATTTTCCTTAAGGTAAAATTTGTATTCATCTTTCCAATTTAACCTATCACTGCTGGGCATTGCCTTCCTGATGGTCCATGGATTCACCAACCACACTGACAGAATCCTTTGAGGTTGCTGTTATCATTGAACATCTAACAACTGAACAGAGACTGCACAAAATTATGTAGTTAGACCAGGATTACACTGCAAGAAAGTGTTGTGGTTGGAATTCAAACCCAGCACTATTTTCAGAAAGTGAGCCCTTACAGTTTCCCACAAGGTTCTGCCATCAATCTCTTAATCTACTGTCAGAAATACAGAACTTAGTCATTGCTAACAGACATCCACCAAGTCATCTCATTTAGGACTCCCAAGGCAGGGTATTGCTAGCATTGGGTCGGGGGAGGAGAAGAGGAAATACTACCCAGATTTTCTTCTCTCCCTGCAGGATTCAGGAGTCAGAATGACAAGGAGAGCCCTCCACGAGAAAGGCCTGAAGACAGAGCCCCTCAGAAGGCTCCTGCCTAGGAGGGGCCTCCGGACAAATGCCCGGCCTAGTTCCACTGGGCCAGATACCAGAGCTCCTGGGGGAGGAAGCAAGGCCCCTAGGGCACCCAGGACGATCCCCCAAGGGAAGGGGAGGTGAGCCTGCTCGCCAGGCAAGGTGAGGCCCTTAGGAGTCCCTTGGCCACCCCAAGATCCAGCCACCTACCCGTGCCCTGAGTGCAGAAAGAGCTTCCTAGGTCAACACCCACTGCAGGAACATCAAGGGCAAGTGTGTCTACCTTTGCCCAGAACCTAAGGTCACAGAATCCATCCTGCTCCCCACCTGAGCCTCAATGTGTGGGAAGAGATTAGGGCAGAACTCGGACCACACCAAGCGCCTGAGGACGCCTCCCCGAGAGGCCCAGCAGTGCCTCCAGCACACAGGAAGTTGGACACCAGGCGGCCTTGCCAGCCTCCTCACACCAGCGCGGCCCTTGTCCAAATGGCCCGAGTGTGCTTGCAACGTGGCCGCAGCCTTGACTCCCAGAGGCCGAGTCCGACCGTGCAGTGCCACAGGGACCACACTGGCGAGGGGCTTCACCACCAAGAGGGGTGCTGGAGGCACCAAAGACCGGCCTTGAGCTGCCTGCCCCACCATGTGCTGCTGACAAAGGTCTACGACAGCCACCCATGCACGGGGTCTGCGATACCGCGCCTGCAGCCCTGAGAGTCTATGGGTGCCTGGCCTCTGAGCTGCTGGAACTTACACCAGGGTGCCAATCTTGCCAGCCAACCTAGGAACCCACATGGTCCAGAGGCCTTCCAGCCCAGGCACCCCGCTTCCTGCTGCAGGACCCATATGGAGGGACTGATGGAGACTTCTGGGACAGCCCTGAGCCAACCCACCCTACCTGGAAAATCCCACCTGGAGAAACCCATGGCAAATGAGTGGTCCAAGGGCTTTCCCCAACCTCTTGCTTCCTGACTTTATTATTGGGCCTATCATACTAGGACCTATCACACTAGGAAACAATAGCATCTCCCATTTATCCAGAGCTTACTCTGTGCCAGGCGATGTGATTTATGGGAATTATCTCATTTAATCCTCACAACATCCTTGTGTCATTGATATTATCAGCATTTTACAGACAGGGAAACTAAGTCTCCAAGAAGTTAAGGGACTTGCCCAAAGTCACACATCCAGTATGTTGCAGAACCAGCATTCGGACCCAGGTCTGCCTGTCTGACTCCACAGTCGGTGCTAATATGACACTTCTTGTGCTGGACACGGTGGAATTAAGGCTGTGAGTTTGACAAGGCATCCATTTTATGGAGCATCCGTTTTTCTCAGTGATAAGTTATACGGAACACTTTTCATACTAAAGTGTTCAAGCTCCCTGGGAGAAAAGTGAACGTTTGTTCCAATGATTGATATGAAATTTAAGATGACATAGAATTTTGGTGCTTAAGACCAGTGCTTCAAGCTCAACCCATAGTTCTCTAGAGTGACTTCTTTTCAGACCTCTCTAGAGTGATGTTGGTGAAGGAAGCCCCATTCAGGACGAGCTCCTGTGTGGGTGCTTCCTGTAAATGAAGGAAGAGGGCCTCTGGGCACCATCTGCTATCCCACTGTGTTGCTTGGGAAGCTCAAATAACAAAGTTTTGTTAATTAAGATTTCCAAATTCCCAAAGATATTAATCTTCCGAATTTAGAAATGAAAAACCGGAATTCTTAGGAATTCCTGAAATCTGTTATTTTGTATTTTTCATTAACTTTCTGTACTTTTTAAAACAAGTAAGAACACATTTAGTAGCAGTTAAAAAGAACTGTAGGCCAGGCTGGGGTGGTGGCACACCCCTGTAATCTGAGTGGCTCAGGAGGCTGAGGCAAGAGGATTGCAAGTTCCAAGCCAGCCTCAGCAACTTAGCGAGGCCCTGTCCCTAAATAAAATATAAAAAATGGATGGGGATGTGGCTCAGTGGTTAAGCACCCTTGAGTTCAATCCCTAGTACCAAAAAAGAAAAGAAAAGAACTGTAGGCCATAGCAGGTAGCCAAAAACTGGAAATGCCAACAAACACTATTGGATAATATTTAAATAACAAAGTGTTTAAATAAGTAGTTAAAGATTGACAGAACTTCACAGTCATGAGTTGAAATTGCCAATATAAGGCTTATTTCCAAAACATTTTATTTCTTGGGCCATCATTCATAGATTTTGTATAAAATATATTATGCATGTAAACATGTTATCTTATTTGTTAGTGTGACTCACTGTTAATCATAGACCCACAGATACAGTTTTTTTCCCCTGATTCTGGCATGCTCTACCACTGAGCTACATCCCCAGCCCTTTTCTCAATTTTTATTTTGAGACAGAGTCTCAACAAGTTTCCCAGGCTGAACTCAAACTTACCATCCTCCTGCCTCATATTACAGGCATGTGCCGCTGCACCTGGCATAAATACACTTTTAATATGTTAACAGCTAAAAAAGAATGAATTAGATTGTGACAACTTTTTTTCTATGTGCTCCTTATCCCAAGTTTCAGAAATGTCTACTTTAACTTCAAATTCCCTGTGTCAACACTTCTTTTCTTGCTTTTGAATTCCTCTGTATTGTTAAGCATTCATTCTCACAGGAGAATTATAGTGCTTTTCTCCATTTTGCCAATTTCTTCACCAATTTTTTAAAAATTTATTTTTTAGTTGTAGTTGAACACAATTCCTTTATTTTATTGATTTATTTGTATGTGGTGCTGAGGATCGAACCCAAGGCCTCACACTTGCTAGGCGAGCGCTCTACCACTGAGCCACAATCCCAGCCCCTCTTCACCAATTTTTTTAAAAATATTTTTTAGTTGTCAATGGACCTTTATTTATTTTTATGTGGTGATGAGAATCAAACTCAGTGCCTCACACATGCTAGGCAAGCGCTCTTCCACTGAGCTACAACCCCAGCCCCACCAATTGTTTTTGAGATTCAGAAAAACACAAAAATTTCTCAGTTAATACCAGAAAGGAATTTCTGCAAAGACACTGCCCTGGGCTGAGCAGCACTGGCAAGGCAAGACCTAGTTCTTTGTCAATCAAGTTCAGCCAGTAGAGCTTCCTGGTGTCAGAGGCCTTAGAGCCAAAGGATCCAAATGTGGATCCTAGCTCTGCCACTTTCTGGTTGTGAGACTAGGAAAATCACTTTACCTCTCTGAGTTTCAATTTAGCAGAATAACGTGGGAAAGAATATGCTTGCTTTGCGAGGCCGTATTATAGGGAGGGTTAAGAGTGTGGCTTTGGAGTCAGACAGTCTGAGGTTCAAATCCTAGCTCCATTACTTACTACTACCTCTTTGATTTGGGACAAGTTCTAACCACTTCATTTTTCTCTTCTGTAAAATGGGGACACTGATTGAATCTATTTCATAGGATGTTGTTGAGTTTAAATGAGATCACACATGAAAATGTTTAACATAGAGCACGGTACATTGTAAATGCTTGGTAAATGTGGACCAGTATAGTTATTATTATCTGCTGTATCTACCTCACAGGGCAGTTGTGAGGATGAATTGGGGAGTATGCTGGAGAAGTGCTTTCTAAACTGTGAAATGGTATCCACACATCCCTCTTTCCTTCAGAGATGGGATGGTCAGAAGCTTTGGGCAGACATTAGTGGCACCCCCAAGTAGGGGGCCTGAGAATCCTTGCTTATATTCACAGAAGGTAGCTGTGTTGAGGAGGTGTCATCACCTGAAAAACAGGGTACAAAGTGCTCTTAGATGAGGGTTAATTGCAATCAAGTGGGGAAAGTCCCACTTTGATGACTTCAAAAGGAGGCTATGGAGGAAAGAGTGGTGTTAAAAGGAATCTCCCCATCATAGGATTTTTTTTTTTTTAATAGAGATCAAATCAGAGGAAGGGGACATGTAACAAAAGATGGTAAGGAGGGCTGTCTTGACTCTTGTCAGAAACTCTTGTTGAGGAAAGGCTGAATTTAGGACATGGTCCCCATAGTTGGGACGAGTACATCCTCTCCTGCTGTGCAAGCACATGCAATGTCATTTGTTCCCTAGACTTTAGACCAAATGTGGTTTAAAGAGCCTTCCAAAGACGACCTCAGGTAATCCTGACAGCAGCCCCATAAAATAAATACTAGCACTACTCTCATTTTGCAGATGAGAACTTGGAATCTGGGAAGGTTAAATCCAGTGCGCGAGGACACACAGCTCTATGCTGTAGAGTCAGGATTCAGAGTCCAAGCCTTTCACCTGCACTGAGCTGCCTCAACCCACCAGGTTCCAGATTGCTGGTCTTGAACAAGAAAGAAGGAAGTTCAAGTGTATATGGCTTTTATGCCCAAGTGTCCTCCACTTTTACCTTCAGTAATTATTCTTTCTCGTGTGTGCTGCTTATTTGCTGTTTTTCCTCTGCTTAGTCCTTAAGGCAGGGTCTCTGCCCCATCCCTGGACCCTTTTTTGTTGTACCCAGGTGAGATTTCTTTGTGCTAACAGCTTCAACTACTGATCATCTCTCCTTACCAGACTCTCCTTCTAAGCACCAGCCTGATCAACCAACTGCCTCCTTGATAACTCCTCCTCTGTGAGTCCAGGTTTCTGATTCAGCATCTCTCCCTTAACATGCCTCTCCTAAGCTCCCCCCTCCTTACCATGGCCTCTTTGTTTCAAATACTAATGTGATGGTGGGGAATCTAAGAAGCTTTCAAAGACAAAGCCTCTTGAATAATTCTAGAGATGGAATGCAGGGTACATTCTCTGAGAGCTGCCAAGAGTTTGGAGGTAAATTGGAGATTAGAATTCATTATTTAATCAGCTGTCTACTGAGTGCCCACTGATGTGCCAGATTCAGTAGCCCATGCTGAGGATGCATTCATGAGTAAAACAGGAGCCCTAGTTTCAGGGATCCTCCAAGGTACTGGGGAAGACTGACATTAAACCATCCTCCCCAAATACAAATCCTTATATAAGACTGTGTTAAGTGTTGTGAAGGAAAAGTTTAGGGTGCTATGAAAGAATACAATAAATCTAAATGTGGGGGAGGGGGGTACAAAGAAGATCATTTTGATAAGTGACAATTACTGTATTCCTGAGACCTAAATAGAAGGAAGAGAATTCTATATAAAGGAAACAGTAGGCACACAAAGGTCTAGAG